CCTATCAAATGCTTTGGAGATGTCTCGTGCCACGGCTCGGGCTTCTCCGTTATTTTGAAGAGCTCGGTAGACTGTTTCAGTGATGGCCGTAAGCAACTCGGCTGTAGATCGGGCAAAGCGGAAACCATATTGTTTGTCTGAGAGCATATTATGAGATGTGAGGTGGTTAACCACCCCGGTATTGATTAGGGCTTCGAAGACTTTGCTGAAGAGGGGAATGAGACTGATAGGACGGTAGTTGGAAGGTTCATAGGGGTCACCGGAGTTCTTGAAGACAGGAACGATCGAAGAGGACTTCCAGCAGACAGGAAAACAAGATTCCTTGAGGCAGTAGTTGTATAGTTTAGAAAGGGCGGGCGCCAGTTCAGGCGCGCATTTCTTCAAGACGGTATCCCGTCTCCACCACTAGCCTTGTTGGGGTCTAAATTGAAGATAACGCCCAGTACCAAATATGGGGTTATGTTTAACCCACTCAATATGGCCTCAGTTCTAAGAGGGAAGTCGTGTATGGGTACACCGGAAGAGTCGAGCGTCGAGTTGAAGGAAAATTTCCGAGCAAAGCATTCAGCCTTGTCGGTAGAGGAGGTCAGGACTTCGAACTGGTTGAATAAAGGAGGTATAGAGGTTTTGCAATTGTTCAATACGCTCTTGCAGAGACGCCAATAATCTTTGGAGCCAAATTTGCGAGATGCAATACGTTCCTTCATCCGAGCCGCAAATAGTGACTTAGCATCGTTGAGGACACGCTTACATTCGTTACGGGCGGAGGTAAAGAGACGTCTATTGCAGTCAGACATGTCGCTACGGAATAGGTGGAAGTAGTGGTTCCTATGGGCGATGGCGGCTGAGCAAGCAGCCGAGAACCAGCGGGAGGAGCGCGACTTGACCCTATATTTCCTTGATGGGATGAAAGCGTCGATTCCAGCTTTAACCCAGGAAGAGACCTCAGAAGCACATTCTTGGACGAGGAGCTTAAAGACTCCATCCCAGGGGACATTGCAGAGGAAATCACGGAACGCGTCCCAGTCAGCTCGTTGATAGTAGAACGAAGTTCTAGTGGTAGGAGGTTCTTTATAGGGGGTGGAGTTGAAGGAGATTTTAATTGATACTACTGCATGATCAGAGTTACCAAGAGGGCAGAGTTGCGAGGCGCTGCAGGATTCGGGAATGGAGGTAAAGCACAGGTCGAGAAGAGAGGCTTTACCTTCCCGGTTGAAGGCAAAACGAGTGGGAAAGTTAACTATCTGTGCGAGGGAATGGGAGATTGAAAAATTGAACGTTTGAATGCCTGCGTGGTCAGTAGTAGCATTCTTAAGCCACAAGGTGTTATGGGCGTTAAAGTCACCAAACATAAAAATGTGAGCAAACGGGTGGAGGGAGAGAGCCTTGTCTATGCTGTCAGAAATGCTATCGAGTATCTCACAGTCTTGAGAGGATGGAGAGCGGTAAAGGAAGAAGAGATAGCTTACCGCGTTGAGGAGAGAGTCGTAGACACATGTATAACTGGTCTGGCGATTCGAGAGAGGACTCTCTGGCCAGAGGGAGATGGTCCTTGACGTAGACACCAAGACCGTGCATGTGGGTTAGAGAGTCTTTTCTGAGGAGAGGAAGGTAGCCGGGGATCGAGAGATCAGAAGAGGGGATAGACGAGACAAGTTTTGTATCACAGAGAGCCAATATATCCGGGCCGTTTGCTGTGAGGAAAGATTCCAGACTGCAGAAGTTTGTCCTAATGCCCCGGATGTTGGAGAGCGAAATGTTGAGGGGTTTAAGTGGTTTTTGAGACGCTGGTTTAGGGTTAATCTTTCGGTTTTTGTAACTCATATTGAATTTTGTTTGTAAGATGAGAAGGCCCGAAGTAAAAGAAACAGACAGTTTCGACCGTGACGCGGGCAGAGAGGAGTTGGCAAAATCTGCATCATTATGTGGCCTCAGGGTTGCCCACCGGAGGTGACTGTAGGGACACCTTTCCATGCGCAACATGGCACTACAAACACCCCGGTATTATACAACTGTTGATCAGAGCGGCCTCTCAAGATGCTACGCAAGAGTTAGGGCTCCTAACTACCAGTCGGAAACAGCAACCAGAGAACTGTCAACCGTGTACCCTCAGAATGAAGAGGTGATGCCACAGACTGCACACATCACGGGAGAAACAGAGCTGCAGTAATACAAAGGCTGGAGAGAAAGAGTACCGGGAACCCCTTCCTAGACAAGAAACAAGGTGTAAGCCTCTACTCATGTCCAATAGAAGGGGGAGGAGTGTTGACCGGGCGGTAGAAGAGACTACCTACTCCTATTCGGAAGTATATATGCCTTTGAACAACATTTTTCGAAAATGAAATATTCTAAAAGTCCTTGAAGAACAAGGTTGGGTGATGACCACCTGGATAATGTTTTTCTCCTGTCATCGACAAATATTTTCACCTGATGTGAAGAAGTTATCTAACAATAAGCAGAAACAAGAGTCTCATTAAATAATTTGCGATTTGTAACCGTATTTCGTTTGTAGTAAGGAATTTGTACTTTTTGTTGATTATGTTAGTTGTTATCCTGTTATTCCTGAACTAAAATAAGGAAACATTTTTAAATAATATAACATTAACTTCTTTTTGGTTTTTTTTTTCTTTTCTTTAAACCTCCAGACTAAGGCAGCCTTTTGGACGGAGCGGTCTGAGGTTGAAAGAGTTTATTATATTACATTTGATATCATGTCCCTTCTCCGAAACACTGCATAGCTTTCTGGCCCGCTACTGAACCCTGACATAAACGACTTGCATTACAGTTGTGAGTGGTTGTAAGTCTTCAGTATTAAACTAGTTTCATACTTTTCAAGTTTAATTATTGACTAAATACTTAAGGCACAAAAATAGATTAAGGAAAGTAAAAGGATTTTAAGTGGTAACTGAGCGAACGAATTAAATGGAAAAAGCACTCATTTTTATTTGAGGGTGGGTCAAGTAGTTTTTTGTGAAAACATGGAGGAGATTGATTATCTCTTTCAGAAGGTATAAGTTTAAGATAAGGTCTCAAAATTTAAATGCAAGTTGAAGAGTCTTCAAAAATTTAAATGCAAGGTCAATCTTTATCACCTTTCTTCTTAATTCTCGTTGGTCTATCGTTCATTTTCCTTAATAATGTTTTATTCTGATATTCTATCACACTCAGTAACCTGTAACCGGGGTAGAAAATGTTGGGTGTTGATGTATTATTTTCCCCGTTGTTATTATTTGTTGACTGTAACGGGGTGGGTAAGTTACGGGCTGATGTGTTAATAATCCCCTCTTGATATTATTTGTTGAGTGTTGTTAAATTACCCCGTTGCTATACATATTTGTAGCGTAGGAGGAATCATTTTCACTTTTTTATATTGAAAACGAAATGAGCATAAATGTACAACGAAAACAACTTGAGACCCGTTTTAACATAACAAGAATTTGTATTTTCTTTTTGTGATGTGAATTACAGAATATTGGTATGGTGTGTGTAAAAATGTTTTCAGTGTCTCTTTTGTTTAAAAGTCAGTCTTCACTTGTTTTGGTTCTGAGAATTTCGTTTGTGAGTATGCGTTTGAATCATCTGTTTTCGATCTTCCTGGAGTACTGGAAGACGTGTGTTACTGTACTACTACGTGTCTACTCTACTACTGACTACTGCTATAGGTACCCTAGTCTACACTACGCTACTGAGCCTCTTGTGGTGGAAGGGTTGCTTTCATAATGATCAGGGTCAGGATGATGAAATATCCTTCTTTTCTATCATCACTGATAACAAGGTTGTTTTTAGAATGATGAAATATCATCATCATTCTGGGCCATAATAAACCCCTCGCTTCTTAGGCGCTTTATTGCTTTGCTTGGGATGAAATGATAAAAATTGATCCTACAAATTAGTTGACCTCTTCAGAGAATTTGGTCTTTATGTTACGCTTCTTGGTTAAAGATATTGTGTGTTGATAAGTAATCAAGTACCAAGGAATATTTATTTAACTACTACTTTCAAATAGTCTCCCTCAGACAGTAATCCTTCGAAAAATTGAAATTATTCCTACAGATATTCATCGATTGGTTAAATTAAGAGTTGAAATCGTTATTATTTGCTAACAAAATAGATCGAACACAAGAGCAACGACGAGGTTTTAGAGAAAATGGAAACAAAAAAGAAACTTATACTTAACATTAGAAAGAGGCAGTTAAAATTTCTGGGGCATGTAATGAGGAAGGAGGGCTTGGAAAATCTAATACTCACAGGACAGCATGAAGGCAAGAAAGACAAGGGAAAACAACGCATAACATACTTAATGATTGCCTACGTCCTGAGAAGACAAAGCACATAAAGAAGAAGAAGAAGAAGAAGAAGAAGAAGAAGAAGAAGAAGAGGAAGAGGAAGAGGAAGAAGAAGTAGTAGTAGTGAAAGCAATCAGGGCGTTCAACACTTGCATAGCTCAAGGTCATGTATGGACAAGAAAATAAGTTTTCTAAAGACCGCAGAATTGCAAAACCTGTTTAAAATATCTCACTGCATTTTTTCAGGATTCGAAATTTCTGCTACTCTAAGCAACATTTGTCCCTCTTTTGTTTAAATAGATGACAGAACATGGAATGGAAGGAATAAATCCTTCCATTCCATGTTCTGTCATCCATTTAAACAAACAAGCTTTGTAGTTAGATTATTAGATGTATGTCTCTACTCTATTGCCTTCAGTATGTCCTTTGAGTATCCAATTCTACAAGCCCTATTTCCTCATTATGCATCCAAAAAATTTCAAACGTCTCTTTCTGATTCTAGGTACAAGTGTTCGTTTTGTTCCCATTTCCCTTAAAGTCTCCACGTTGCTCATATGTCCCATCCACGGTATTCTCAGAATCCTTCTGTAGAACCACATCTCCGTTGCATCAAATCTTTTTTTTTTTTCATCTATGGGGAAACTGTTCAATATTCACTGCCATATAGAAGTATGGATATTGCATAGCAATTCATCATTCTGTTTCTGACGAGGCTTACGGCTACATCACGTTGAAACACCGGTTCCAGCACGATCACCGGTTAAGCAACGTCAAGCCTGGTCAGTACCGAGATGAGTGACAGCTTGGGAATACCAGGTGTTGTAAGCATGAATATGCAGGTAGCTCAATGGATGATGGCTCAGTATTGTTAATCGGAGACCTGAGTTCGAATTCCAGTTTGGTTCGTTATATTCACTTACGCGCAAATACACTTGGGAAAAGTATAAATCCACCTCTTCTCCCCCAGCTATGGGGTAATTAGTAAAACCTGTATCACTAAATCATTATCTCCAAAAACATTCTTAAAACATAACGTCCTAGGTAAGACGATAAACTACATCCGACAGCAAGGATTCTGATCAGGAGGTTTTGAGGAGCGTGGAGCCACCTCTTAATTGCTAATTTGGGGTGGTAGCAGCGGTTAAGGTCCTAGCTATGGGCAATAGTTAACCCACAAACTGGGGTCAAATAACTATGAAAGTGTAAAAATAGGTTTTAATACCAGCGATACATTTTTTGGAAAAATATTACCAGCAATACATTTTTTAACAAAGAAGTTATTACCAGCAATACATTATTACCAGCAGTATATTTTTGAAACAGAAAAATATTACCAGCAATGCATTTTGGGAAAAAATTAACAGCAATACATTTTTGGAAAAAAAATATTACCAGTAATAAGTTTTTGAAAAAAAAATATTATCAGCAACAAAAATCTTGTCGGCATTAAATAACGAATTTAGGTTGATATGCCGTAAAACAAATCAAACCAAACCAAACTTAAAATCTAAAAATATTTTCTGGCTTTAAATAACCTGCAAAGGGTTGATAAGCCGTAGAAAACAAATCAATAGATGTTTCTAACGAAATTTTCTTGTTTCTTAATGTATTTTTCCTTGTAATTTTCTTTTTGCTTCTGCCATTAACATAGTGTCATCTGCGTATCTTATGCTGTTGCGATTGTCTCCATGTTTAATAAATCTTGGTTATATTTCTTGTTCTCTTAGAATTGCCCTTCTGTATAGGTTAAATAATTACGATACTCTTGTCTTATGTCCCATTCTATGTTTGTGTAAGTGTTCAATTCAGTTTATATCCGTAAGCAGGTGGTGTTTTGTCAGCAAATGTTACATATATATTTCCCAAATAAATCAAGTTTTCCTAGTAGTTCAAATAGATCTTTGTGTCGTATAAATCTTAATAATTCGGCACTTCGCAGTGAAGTAATTGTTAAGCTAATGTTGTTTTGACAAGGAGGGCTTACGACCATATCACATTGAAACACCGATTCTGATACGATCACCGAAGTTCAGCAACATCAAGCCTGATCAGTACCTAGATAGGTGACCGCTTGGCAATACCAGGCTCTGTAAACTTGGATATGCGTGTGGTCTAATGGATAACAGCTAGAAACTGGAGATCGGAGAGTCGAGTTCAAATTCCCGTTGGGTTCGTTATATTCACTTACTCACAAATACCATTAGGAAAGTTTTGAATCCACCTCTTCTCCTCCCAGCTATAGGTTAATTAGAAAAAAACCAATCAATCAATTTAATATTGTTCAAGTTTAAATGATATTTAACCTTCATTAGCTTTTAGATGGTAGTCAGGATACAAAGAGAGAATTGGCAAGAATGGGATATAAAATCAAAAAAATAATTGTTTTCTATATTAGTTAAAGTTTTTAAGCTAAAATATATAATGATACAATAGTGGAATTTCCACTGGTTTTTTATAATCTCAAGGAAAGCATTCTGTCATTAAATTGAGAATTATAACTCATCAGAAAATTAAAAACAGAAAAAAAAACCGTAACATTGTAACGGATACTTTTAAAAAATGATTTCACCCAAACAAGGAGATAAAGCCACTAAGATGTATGGGGTTACTGGGGATGAAAGAAAATAGACTCAAGGAACCTGAGAAAACGGTACTAATGAGAAAGAACAATTCAAGGAGACAGAAGATGATGATTGATATTGCATTTAAATTTGTGAAGATGGTAGCTGATAGAAAAACAAGAAGCTGGAAGAGAGTTCCACAGGTGGTAAGTGCGAGAGTAGAATCTATTAGAATAGAACTTACGGTTACATTCTAGCAATTTCAACAGTAAAATGATGAGAACTAACTGCCAATCTAATACGATGCTTACTTCGTGTAAAGTTTAATTCCTCTGAGCACCTTTAACAAGTCTGAGTATCAAACAGTTATAATGTATTCAGAAAACACCTTGACGTGTATAATAAACCGTGCTTACAAGGCCAACTCAAAATGAGGTTGTATTGGTTTCCTTTTTTATTTTATTTTATTTTATTTTTATTTTTATTTTTATTTTTTTTATTGTTAGCTACACTAGTGTTCAAGTTAACTACAGCCTATGGTCAGCATTTATATAAAAGTCATTAGTAGTCACGAGAATGACGAGTTTCTTAGGACGGTGTAGTGTTGAAGCTAGCATTGACGACTTAGCCGATAAGTTCAAAATCACAAAGGTTTAAGCTATTCTGTAAACACTGTGGTTCGTGAGTTCTAACCTGACATGAACAACAAAGAAATGTTTGTAGACGGTGCACAGAGTATATAATAGTGTCAAGTAAGCTAGGCTAGATAAGTATAATGGGTTTTGAGTGACAGAGGCCATTCTTCCCATAAAAGAGGGACGAATGTGTTAAAAGTGGAATAGTCATAGCGGAGAATTGTACCATTATCTAACAAAAATAGAGCAAATGGAAGGACACAGAAAAACGCTTCCTATAATTGACTGAGATTTGACTGATGAGCAATTTTTAGATGTCCTTCCTTATCCGATTAACGCACGCTCTGCTTCCATATCCTGCTAATACAATCAGGTTTGGGTTTTATGAGACAAGAGAAAGCGGCCTTTATGGTTATGTCTGTGGGGAGACATTGCAACCATTTGAACAGTACAGTTGAATTATTCTAATAATCATCAGGCAGAGATTTTGTGGGGAGATAGGAAATATACCTACCGTTTGACAAAGATTGTGACGTCATACATCTCGGGTCTTAGGTAATATATTCGGTTAAGTCATAAATAATGTCCGTTTTCTATATAATTACATTTTATTCAATTGTATGTTAGCCATCATTTTCAATAACTTGTCGCCACTTACCAGACAGCCTTTTCTGTCAAATTCCGCAGGTTTTCGTATGGAAAAAAGTTTTCGACGAATCCTTGAATCTGGTTGTGATTAGAGAAATTTTCCTCATCAAATTACTTTGCAGTGATCGAAAAAAGTTTTTAATCGGTCTGTGCGAGGTCAGGTGAATATGACGTTTGAATTAGAACAGACCAACCAAGTTCCAATATCTTTTCTGTTTTATTCTTGCTCTATACGTTCTTGGCTTGTCGTGAAAGAAAACAACATTTCTTTAATCCACTGTATGCGCTGCCACTGAAGTACAAAAACTACGGTATCTTAGTGTCCTCCAATCTTATTCTTAGCTGTTACTTATAATTAGTAGCTAGGATGATTTATTCGTCATTACAATTGATTCACAAAAACATAAATTACTTATGACTCTACCTAAAAGTATAATAAAGTTAAAAATGTTTTTGTTGCATTGACTTACGCTAGAATGTCAGTTTTCGGTTAGCTCATAAATCAAAACAGTCGCAAGCGGCTTGATTCCTTTCCATTAATAGCTTAAAATAGTTTACTATAACTGTTGTCTACAACAGTAGCTAAGCTTGTCGGAGTAGTGGGTTGGCTGACATGAGGTTAAACCCTCCTAACTAAATTCAACACTTAGCTCTTTCTCTAACGCCAAACTGCACATTAGTACTGGGCGATGTTCCATCGAAAAGCGAACTTTATAGGAAGAAACAGTTTAGACAGAGAAATCAACACTGCATAGCGACTGACAGTTTCATGTCCTAAGCGATCATCTATGGCCTGATGATCACTTCAGTTGTAAAATTGCTAGTTACCATACAGTGTTGATTTCTTAGGTAGCTCCAAAATCATGCGCCCTTTCGGCAAATGAAATAAAGGGTGAAAAACAATGTTTTTAAAAATTTACCAAATATCAGCGAATTATCAGATTTTATTGAAATTTTCAGCATTTATTCTGTAATGAATGAACTTTATATTGCATCTTTGTTTAAGTTTCCATTAAATACTTTCAGGCCAATTATATCTCCTCTTTACTTAACACGTGGCTAATTTGTGATAGCTAATTTTGGATGTTCCTAATTTTTTCATTTTATAATGCTGAATCACCAATATCTTCTAAAATTAATATCCCCAATAAAAATTAATATCGAGGGTGAACACATCGAAATCTTTAGAGAAAAAAAAAATTGAAGAAAACAAAAAAAAATATTTTGTGGAGAGTTACTGTACTCAATTTTAATAAAATACACTACATAATTACTCTTTCCACAAGAAACATCTCTGCTGTATATTTGCTTGTGAAAAATTGACTTGTTTACTGTACGATTTTAAAACTCGTTCAGATCATGACTGTTACTGATGAAATTAATATAAAATGAAAATGTGTTTGAAGAATCGAAAAATGTCAAGTTTACTTCCATTTTCCAGCGTGAAGATTTTATAAAAATATTTCTTTTCACTTTTCAACCGTTTAATTTGTATTCTTTTGAAGCTCAAAATGAGTTATGTCTCGTGACTAATACACTTCTGCTTCTAACTTTAGTTTCTATTGAAATATTTAATATTGCGCTGAGTCTGATCTTCCATATTTGACTGGATTTTTTACAGTAGGAGAAGGATCTTAGTAATTTTCTTTACCTTTGAACGTGTTAAGAGGCGTTTATATGTGCTGCTAGGGAATATGTATTTTTCGTTATATTTCTGCGCAAAAATTTCACAAAATCTAATTAATTAATCCTTAAGCTTACTATTGTTTTTCCGAAACTGGGACATATATTTGATTTTTAAGAGATTTTTAAGAGATTTTTAGCTTATTTTAATTTCTTTTCCTTTTTTTTTTTTTTTTTCCTGTTTTCCATTAAATTTGCTAATCCAGTTCGATTATGAGTTTGTTATTTTTTAATTCTACCCTTGTCTCATTTGGAGTATCTTTGCTTGATTTTTACTTAGAACTGAATTTTTACAGTGAGATTTACATATAACACCGTTCGTGGTCTCTGCTATCATTTCTAAGCAGGATACCCACAAAACACGCGAATTTGATGGTATCCCTGCAATAATTCTACACAAATGTGCCCCTGAAATGGCCCCTGTTCTCTTTAAACTCTGCAATAAATGCCTTGACGCTTCTTACTTTCCTGCTTGTTAGAAGTCCTCTTCTGTAGTTCATGTTTTAAGAACCCGGGAGAATCGACTGATCCTTTTAACTATCACTCTACAAATCTATTACGGCTTTTTTTTTTTTGCAAAATCCTAGAGACTCTAAGCAACTCCGAGTTGGTTAAGCATCTCACCTCGCAAGGTCTTCTTTCAGACACGCAACTAACAGGGTTAACTGCTAATGTGTTAACAGTTACTGCTAAAAGAATCTGTCAAGCTTTAAATAAGAATGGTGAAGCTCGGGTTGTTGCTTTAGATATCTCAAAAGTGTTTGACAGGATTTGGTATACTGTTCTTCATCACAAGTTGAAGGGCTATGGCATTCCTGGACTAAGGTTTTATTTGATTCAATCTTAACAAATCGCGAAATGAAAATCGTCTTGAAAGGCTACTCTTCTAGATCTTTATACAATACTACTGGTGTCCGCCAGAGCTGTATCCTTGGACATACCTTGTTCTTAATTTTCAGCAACGACCGATATCATCCTCAACTCGCTACCCATGCTGATGACACAACTATTTACTCCCGTTTTAATGGTGAGTTTGATAGGATCGATAAGGTTAAATTGGCAGCTGATTTTAAAATACCTTCAATCTGTTGTTAACTGAAACAAGAAATGATTTCTTAACTTTAATGCATCCAAAATGAAATTGCTCTCTTTTAATCGTCTTGGAGAACCTTTTTTGACTTCCATCAACATGGCTGATTCTATCTTCCAAGAGAATGATTCATTGCACCTTCTTTGTCTAACGTTTTCCACTGATAAAAAATGGAACCATGATATAGAATCTAGAGATTCTCGGTAAAATCCAAATAGGACTCTGTAATGTTATTGGTCTTGACATGGCATCTCAGCTTCAGTCACTTTCCTACCGCCATAAAGTACCTCCCATGTGCCTTTTCTATAAATGGTGACTGTTTTGATTAGCTTTCTTCTTTGGTGCAGCGACTTTACGAATTTAAGCGCAGTATTAGAGTGGCATGTCTCATCATTTTACAGGTGAAATTCGTAGATGTTCAGAAATTTAAATGCAATGTCAATCGTCATCGTCTATCTCTTTGTTTTTCTTTCT